ATTTGATCTTGGGCAACAGGCTTTAAACAGTTCAAAACATAATTTGTGTTTTGTTTTTAGATCTAATATCTTCAACCTCTTCAGTCATTCAGAGCTTATTTAAAGTATTTTGGCATAAATAAATGAAGGTTTAATGCAGTTAGCTGTGTTTAGTCTGCCTGTAGCATGATGCTGCACAAACAGCTCAATGCTCTCGTTATCCCAGTTACAGCTCACACACACACACACACACACACGCACACATTGTGACATCACATATTTACAGACAGAATACCACAGAGGCGCCGTCATTTGGCACAAAGGCTGTAAAGCTGCAGGTGTGTGTGATAAAAGCGTAAAGAAAGAAAAGCTCTGTCTCTTTCAGGCAAACCGATAAACCCTGCAGAGCAGAGATGAACTGAATCGGAGATTAAAACAAAAAGTTTTTTTTCCCCGTCTCATTTTCTCTTCTGCTTTTTCTTCTGCGTTGCTTGGAAACTGGTGTCAAACCAGACTTCTGCTTTTTTTTGGCTCTGCATGCAACATTTGAACATAAAGACACTTAATCAGTCTTTAAATGTGGATTCATATAAAAACAGGCAGTGTTGGTGTGTGGGAAGTATTTTCTAATGATGCAATGGGAGAGGCGTGTCACCTGTCATAACACGAGGAACCTTCTGTAAACCTGACATTTCCAGCTGAATTAGTTAAGCACATAAGAACATTWTGGTACATCTTTCTCGTTATTTCAGCCATCATAACGTGATGCTGTTGCTGTTAAAGCAGCATGAAACTGCTTTCCTTTAGCAGCACACTTTCATTCAGTGTAAAGCAACTAAAAAGACAAGCAGGCCCAAAATCTTCTGATATCGTCTCTTTTAAGTAAATCTTCCTTTTTATCCAATATTCTAACCAATTGAAAGTCCTTTTGAAGAGATGTCTTTGGGTTCTCTGTTGGTTTCTGTCCTAATTGCAGGCTGCTGTCTGTTTTCAGATGGTCCAGCTTCAGTGGGAGGACTTGTCTTTGCTCTTAAAAAGAACCATGACCTCATTGTTTTTCAGCTCATTTCTGCTCTGCTTGACCTGTTTGTTTAGACTTGATCGCTCTCACCCTCCCACTTCTCTGTAACTCTCTGCCTGAAGCTCACAAACTATAAAATGTTTTTGATGATTGTCACATTAGCAGAGAAGAAACATCTTTAACTTCACAGCTAAAAGACATTTTACTGACGGTCTTCAAATAGACGAGGAGAAAGATGCACAAGGTTTCACGTAGGTTTTTTTTTCTCTTCGTGTAAACAGAGAGGCGACGGATAATCTACTCGGTGATCAGATTTGTCTTGTCTGACCTGGCAGCTGCTTAAAGTTGAGATTAAATTAGGGCTGCACCGATTAGTTGAAATAATCGATGACGTCGATTATGTAAATTTGTCGACGCAGATTTTTTATTATCGATTCGATGTATTACATAATCACCACGTGAATGTTCACGCAATTCCATTTTGGTACCTAAATGCATCATTGCGACCGTACTGGCATAAGAGTGGTGAGTTTTCCATGCTTGTCCTGAACGCAGCATCATGCAAGAGCGTAATGACGTCAGCAGCCGCTGCTTCAGTTCAGTCTGAAGCTTGAAAACAAGCCTCGCAGCTCCTGGAGTAAAATTTACCGAACAGACCGCCTCTGAATTATCTGGTGGATTAATTATCTTGTGAACATGACTTTCGCTTGCTCAAAGTAAATAAAGTACCGCCACTTTCTTTATTTCATCCACCATTAAACAGAGACCGGTGTTAGGTTGAGCCGCGTTCCCCCATCAGACGGTTCCCCCAGCGTCTCAAACAACAGAGGAGCTTCCCGACACACGTCTGACCTAAAGAGCACAAGCAGCCAACAAGTGTTGGACGTGTTTTGGATGTTCAAAACGTAGCTTAAATACATATCTTTTATTTTAACTGCATCCTCTTTTTTGTTTATTTGATTTAAACTTATTTGCCTTCCATGGACCTCCATCACACATTTTTCTAGTGGGGAAATGACATCAATAGAAA